CGAGGATTCAAAACGTTAGAACAATAATCACTAAAACCCATTTTTTGATAAAAACTAAAAAATAAATTATCAACACATATCATTTTAGCCATTTCTTCTTTATTTTTTTTATCGATATACTCGAAATAAAGAGGAAGATTGAGAAGCAAACCCGGATATTTGTGTCCGATGTCTATCATTGCCAAGTACGGATGGATGCTTTTTCTCCAAGTGGGTTTTGAATGTTCCATAACCACCTCCTTGTTTGAATGTGTATTGCTTTTTGTAGTAGTTGCAAATCACGGTAAAAACGTCTTTTTCTAACGAAACTTTTGAGAAATGAATTTTGAAGATGTCGGATGATCTAGGTGTAAAATTTGATTGTTATTGTTGCTCCCCTGTCCGATTTTGATTGACGGTATTAGTTTGTTGTAATGGCATATGTGAACTTGAACTTGCCATTTTTTGTAGTATAAAACAATAGAAATGTAAAAATTTAAGAAGTATTTGGAGTATAAAAAATATTATAGGATAGTATTAAGAATTCTAGACTTAAGAGTTTAAGAGATTGAAAGATAATGAGAGATTGAGTTGTGAGAAGAATGAAAAAAATTGAGAGTGAGAGGGTATTTATAGAAAAGAAAAGAAAAGAAAAAAAATAGAAAACGGTCACAAATGTTTGTGACCAGTTGCATTGTGACAAACGGTCACAAAAATGTGACCGCTTGTCATATACTCAATTTACACACACGGATATATATATATATATATATATATATATATATATATATATATATATTAAGTCCAAAAATTAAAAATTATTAGGCTTAATTTTTTTTTTCATTTTTCGATCCAATAGCTACTCGTCCATCCCATATAAAATTATTTTTTTATTTAATTTTTTTTGTTTTTTTCGACCAAATCCAAATTTATTAGGAAAAATGTGAAACCGTTGGTTTAGAATCGCCGGTTCGATTTTATGATACCTTAAACCATAACCAATCCGTAGATAGTCGATTACTATCCTATTTGATCAAGGTTACGATTTTAACGGTTTTGGTTTGGTTTTTTAACGGTTTGGTTTCGATTCGGTTTACGGTTCAAATCGAACCGTTACCATGTTTACTTGTGGTGTAGCTAATATAGGTGAAGATAGTATTTTTCACCCTTGAGTCGACTATTGAGGAGTCCGTCCAACATGTGTACATTGGATGTAGTTGGAGGATGGACCTCATGCACCCTATAGCAATCATAATACTTGGTATCTTAGTTTATTTTTTTAGCTATGTTTGTGTTTTTCTCGTATGGTAGTTAAAGCAATAAAAGAATAGATGGTCGACTAGCAAAAAATAAATGTAAATAGTTAATAAGTCATTTTGTAGTAGTTGTTATTAAATAATAGCTTGTATGTAAACAAAATATCAATAGTAAGATAGTAATATAGTTGTAGCTAGTGTAGTTTCTTTAAATCATTTATTTCCATGTTAGCATCATCGAGCAATTAGACGATATAATTAAATATACAATAGTTATAATAAATGGTAATTAATGAAAAAATAATCAAGTAATTATCAAGTAATGATTATGATTAAATAAATTTATATAATTTAATAGAATTTTTTTTGAGAAAACTGAAAGTCACATATTCAATTATTTTAATTCAAAGAATTTAAACAAAATAATGAAACGCGAAAAATTCATAATGCATTTTGAACTAAAATGTAGGACCTAATCATCATTATTAGACTTTCGCGAGCATAATTTATACCTAAATGCATTAAAGAAAAGTCACGAGTACTTTGTTAGCTCGCATTCATTGCGCTTCGAATGTAGGTTAATGACAATAGTATTCTCAACCTATTAGATCCTAGATTGAGGGCATTACATGTCATGTATCAAAATTTATCTCTCCATTCGGTTTGGGTCATTTGGTATACTAGATGACAATTTCACGCTTTACATGCGAAAACACATGGGTGTTAGTTATTTATGGATGCCAACTTTTCAAAGGTATTTTTTGAGATATGAATTATTTTTTAAGAGATAAATTAGTTCTTAAAAGAATTGAGTAACAATTTAACGCCTAAACTAGTCTTGATGCCATCTTGATAAATATAATGGTTCCAATTGAGTTTCTCTAGGATATATCACCAATAGCACTTCGAGATTAACTCGAACAATGCAATACCTACAAAACATCGACTCAAGGAAATAATCAATAATGAAAGATGGTTTGATTATCAAAATAAAGGAAACATATACACTTGGGCAAACAATTTTTTTTTTTTTTCATTTTGATTTCTTATATTTAGCAATATCTATAATTGAAAACTCTTTAAAAAACTCATACGAAATAAAACCCGATAAAACATTGGGTCTCATTTAGTAATATTTATATTTTATTATTATAAAATTAAAATATCTTCTTCTACTAGAATTACTATTGTATTACCATATTTGTAAATTATTTTTGTCAAAAAAAAAAAAAATGTTCTTTGTTCCAATAAAATATATGTTTAACACAAATATATTTGGCATATGACACGAATAAAAATTTTATTCGCTATTTAATTAAATTTTAATTTGATTATATTACCCTTGTATTTTTTTTGAATCTTTATATATATATATAAAGAATTAAAAATATAAACATGAATTGGAATTTTATTAATTGTTTTGTTTAAAGGACTGTTTTAATATTAGTCGTTGTTGTAAAATGAAAGGAAAAAAAAAGAATCAATTAGTCTAAAGAAAAAAAATAACTTAAAAATAATCAATATTCTCATTAAAAAAAAAAACCAACTATTCGATTAATATTTATAGTACAATCATTAGCTTTGATTAACTTATTGTTGGTGATCTTAGAGTTTTAATAGTTAAAATTAAGTGTTAAGAAAGTGTTACATAGATTAGAAGTGATTTAAAAAGTTTACCTTATATTATTTTAAGGTCTCGTGTGATGTGTAAATAAGTATATAATGAAAATTTTGGATTAATTTATCTCTTAAGAACTATATTAATTTTTAGTATCTAACTAGAGATTAGATATCAAAGATATAGTTGATTCTACATATTAGTATTGACATATATTATGCATTGAAATAAAAAAATAATTCATATATATAGAGTAGAAGTTTTCATTTTGGTATGTAGAACTTTACAAGGCAAAACAATACATTTAGTATTTCATAGTAAAGTCATTTTAATATATATACATATATTCAACACAAAATTCAGTAAAAATATATATTCGATAATGACTAAATATGTATCAAATAAAATATATAGAATTGAGTCTTTTCTTTTATAATACAGAAATGGTTTGCTTAAATTTTAAAGCTAAATAGATAAAAAATCCTCTAGACATTAGATATTTTTAAAAAATAGTCTCTGAACTTCTAATTTCAAATTTGACTTCTATTGAACTTTATTTTTTAAGATTTAATCCATCATGTGATTTCCAACTGTCATCACCCCTTCTAAAAAATTTAATTCCTAATATTTTAAACTAAAATTTTAAACACATTGAAAAAAAAAATCAATCTATCTTTTTAAAATATTCTAAAATTTTCAAAGTCAAATATATATATATATATATATATATATATATATATATATATATATATATATATATATATATATATATATATATATATTTTTTAAAGGTTAAAAATGTAGAAATTAGAAAAAAATAAAAAATAATCTAAAATGATTGCAAATTTTTTAGAGATTTCATATAAATCTTATAAAATGATTTTTATCATGTGATTATTTATGTGATCATTAATTTTTATTAAAAGCTAAAAAAATGGATTAAATCTAGAAAAAGAAAATTCAAGAAATGTCAAATCTAAAATTATAAGTTTTCAAATAGACTAAAGTTAAAAAAAAAAAGGAACTATTTAGCCAAATTTTAAAGATCTCACATAAGCTATCAAATAAGAGCCAAAAGTATTAAAACAAAATATACAATAGAAAGAAGAAAACTTCTCACTAAGAAAGGACACACCCAAGAAAGAGTGCCATGTTAAATTTTAGATGTTTATGAAATTCATTTGTGTTCATTTACAAGGTTAGCAACACTAGCTATTCAGCACTCCGCTTTATCAAAATGCCCGCTTCCACTTAAAAGATTCAAGGGCAAACTATTACTTCTTTTTACCGATTACAGAAAACAAGAAAAAACAAATTCCTTCTCTCTTTGCAAGCTAACCTTGACAGTTTTTTTTTTTTTTTTTTTTAAATAATAATAAATATCAGATTCTTCCATTAGATCACAACTAATACCCCTTAAAGACTCATCGCTATCCCTATTAGGAAACCACAAAAAATAAGATAAAAATGTTTCAAAACATCTCAATATATCCATGTAATTAAACAAAAAACATTATCTTTAACAATGTACAAATGATATACCAATATATCTTAAAAAACTAATCCAATCAAAACAAAAAACAAACTAGCTATGGTGTAGGTAAGCAAAGTCACACTCACTTGAATATTGACAGATGCATTCTCCTAATTAATGATAATATAATAATAAGGAAGGAATAATAAATGAGAATAATTTTATTGACACTCAGTACTGAAGAACGCTTGGACAATAAAGAGGTATTATTTTTATGTTTCAACTGTATTAATGATGGGAATATTAAAATTATTGTTAGAAAAACAACTATATGTGAACTAGGCGCTCAAATAAGATGGTCATGTCATCCAGAAAAAAACAAAAAGAACCCAATAAAACGAGTGAATTCCAGTGAAGCCATGCATGGAAATTATACTGCAGGGTCTTCAAAATTAACAAAAATGTTCCAAATAACAGAAATGAATTCTGGGGCCCAGGATAGTCAGCAGAAATGCAAAATTCATGTCCAAGCATGCATAACTGAGTTCATAAGACAAGCAATAAATAGAAAAACAAGTCTACGAACTGTACTTGTTAGACAACATTCTAAAAATGTTCACGATCTAAAACCAGGAAAAGCTTTGAAAGCTCATTAGATATGCACCAATCCTAGTCAAAAGAATTCCAATACCTTTATCATCTTAAAGAGTTTGGAAATGTTTTCATCACCAAAAGGTAGTGTAGCACAGAGAAGAGCATGCCAAATAACACCACAGCTCCATACGTCCACTTCAGGTCCAGCATACAATTTCCCAGAAATCACCTACAAAATAATCAAAATAAACAGATGATGCAGAAAATAACTTCAAGTTAAAACCAATACAAGGGACAATTGTATTTTACATGAAATATAAGAGTGTAGAAAGTGCCTCTTTTTTTTTTTTTTTTCTCCTTCTAATTAAATGTTTATAACTCCATTAACAAGTAACGCCACAACTCCGTACCTCTGGGGCAGCATAGTTTGGGCTTCCACAGCTTGTGTTCAGAAAATGACCATCTCGCATTATATTGCTCAACCAAAAATCAGCTATCTTCACATTTCATTTAGAATCCAATAACAGATTCTCAGGCTTAAGGTCTCTATGAACAACCATATTCCTGTGGCAATATTCCACACCAGAAATTATCTGCACCAAAACAGAATTTGGCATGTTTTAACTGAATTGTGAAATGAAGATAAATTACACGAGAATTGTGATGTATATTAGTAGGCAATAGTACCAGCTGGAAGAAATTACGTGCCTTGTCTTCCTTCAATCTACCCTTCTCCACAATATAATCAAAGAGCTTCCCAGACTTCATATACTCCATGACAACATATATGTCGGTGTTTATTTAGGAAAGAATTGTTAAAGGCCTTAAAAGAAGAATTGGGATGATGAAAAAAAATATAAAAAGAAAGTCTCGATTTACTACTTTTGCTTACAGTAGTGGAAGGAGGTAATGACAAGATAAGTGTTGCATGCTTAAATTATGCTGATTATAAAAGTATATAAATTGATTTAGAGACATGCTTGACACAAAGTAACATTTTAAACATAATTGACTTGATTGTTTGATTTTGATGGGTTCTCAACTAAGATTCAATATTTGAAGGATATTTATACTTGCATGACATTCATCTAAGATTTTGTGAGTATATTTTCTAAAAAACCCTCACGAAACACAACTCGTCCATTAGGGATGACCTAGGGGTGTAATGGCTTTTTGCATTTGTTAAATACAATCATGATTCCGATAGAAATGAGTTAGAAAGTATTTTATTTAGTTTGTTTGTTTTGCTCGAGGATTAGCAAAATTTAAGTGTGGAGGAATTTAATAGATACATTATATTATATCTTTATTCTCTTTATATTTAATTTACGTGCTATATTTTACGTCTTATCATAATAATTTATGTTCATATTCATGTTCAAGGCATAAACTAGGAATTTAGAGTTATTGTGCTTAAAAGTTAGAGAATTCCAACATGTTTAACTTAGACCTTTAGGGTTTTTTATAGGTTTTCCAAAGCCTTAGAGTTGGATTTAGAAGTGATGACCTTCTAAGATTTTGTAGAGGACATCTCAAGCTTTTTAGAATAACATTTTGGGTTAAAATCTATGTTTTTTTTTAGGCCTTTAATAATTTTTCATATTTTGATCTAGAAAGTTGTCCGAATTTGATAAGAAGTCCAAACTAATTGTGGAATTTAATTCATATATGGATTTTGATACTTCTAATTGATATAAGGATAAGCCTATGTGATACTTAAGATGCATATCTATAATTCTTATTGGATGCTTGAGTCCAAACTAAGTCATTTTGATGGAGGAATTCAATTGTAAAGTTGGAATCCTAAAGTTACATGGACAAGTTGACTTAGTGGTAGTATTTAGCTCATAAATGAAAATTTGGATCTCCAATTGATTCAAGGCTTAATAATTTTGAAAGATAAGAAATTGGGGCATAAATTTTCTGAAGTAGAAAAACTCTAATTTTGTATGTATCTAGTCCATATCCGGTAGCAAAGCTAGAATAAGAAATCAGAATTTTTGAATTCCGGGAGAAAATTAAGGTCAATTACATTTTTTTTAATTAATTTTGGGAGGTATAAATAGGGATTGGTAGAGCTAGAATGAATCTCTATTCTTCTTCTTGCTTCACTTTTCTCTGAATTTTATTGGATATTTTATTACACTCATGTCTAGCTAATTTCACATAATCGATTCAAGGATACTCAATTCGATCGGTAAATTATAAGACTCTGTTTTTAATTTCAATAATTTTTCTATTCAAGTATTTGTGTTTCTTAGTTTTATATGTTATGATTGCTTGATTAAATTGATTAAGAGATCTATTAATTGATTCAATTATGTGATCTATAGCTAAACTGAAATGATAATCCGTAATTGTTATGACTTTCAATTAGAGCAACAATTAAATAGAATAATTATGATCCAAGTTTTGTTATTTGTTTAATAAAGACATAAAATGGGTTAAATAAGTTGATGCTTGGTTGATTGTTATTCATATTTAACTCTTTTCTAATTTGCATAATTCTATAAGTAAATTGAAGAGGATTGCTTTATACCAATTGTTTTATTGATAAGGATTAATTTGTGTATTGGGCTTAGACTAATGAAATCGGGAAAGGTAGGGATATTTGGCTTCTAATTATCTCTGGTTAAATATTTGAATTGCAAATTATATATTCGGATGGTTAGTGATTAGTTTGCAATTGGGAGAAAGTTTCCCTCAATCGATATCACTTCGATTAAGTTTTTTCTTAATTGTTAATTTCTATTCATTTAAGCTTTCATTGCTCATTATACACAAACCCCTATTTTTCCATTATCTTGTTATTGTTATTTGATTTGTTAGTCCTTATGGATTCGACCCTTATTCATCCTATCTCGCATTTCTAGATTTAGAAGTAAGGTAAAATATTTTGAGTAAGTGTGACATGCATTAATGATTCCCTATATACCTAAGATTTTCCAACCCTTTCTTCCTCTCTTCTAGCCAAATTTAAAAGGAGGATTTTCCCTTTGATTAAACCAAGTATATCACACTTTATTTCATCCTAAACACTTGTAATTAATGGTCATTTTTATATTTTTCTCCTTTTTTCTTCTTTCCTCTCTTTTGCTTTGATTTTTCTCTAAAGTTTTATTTTCTCTTCCTCTCTTTTTTACCAAATTTCTTTAGATATTTCTTCTCTTCATTTTCTAGCCTAAGGCTGGTTGGAAGTGGCCTCCCAAACCAAATTATTAATTCCCTAAACTAAAATTTTACACTTTAGTTCCCAAACTTCTAATTGATGCAATTGGCTCCTTTAATTTTAGTCCTTAACTTTTAATTTTCCATTATCAATCCCTTATTCTAGGCATTGTCTAGTTTAATTATGGTCACCAAAGTTTCTTAATTATTTCAATTAAGTATCCAAACTTTTAATTATTGTGATTATGTCCTTAAGATTTTATAATTAGACCCCTAGGTTAATACGGAACCATAGTAATTAATATTATAAACCTCTAATTAATTCCTTAACCTCTAAGTAATTCCTTTACTTTACCATTAATACGTTAACCTTCCATAATAATTATGCATGCATTAGTTTATTCCTTTATGCAAGCACAAATTAACAATCCTTGCTTTAAATAATTATTCATTTATTAATTAAATAAACACACACACACACACACACATAAATAGAGGTTTTTAGGTTAAGGATATTTCATCCTCTCCTCTTTACAAAAATTATATCATTGAAATTCTTTGTTAAAACAATTCGGGATATTTTACTTTCATTTCTTCCTTTTGTTCCCACTTTGCTTCTTCTATATTGTGGTTTCTCTATAATTCTTTATGAGAGAAATCTATTTATTCCTTAATTATTTCACCTCTCGATCCAATATCCGCATCGACCCTTTTTCATAGCTCAAGTCTAGTTAGAGGTCTAGTGGCTCATCCATTAAGACATAGTTTGGGTCCTTTATCTATTTTCATAGCATAAATATGTGAAATACGTTATGTATTAATAAGAGAGATGGATGTAAAGTGAATATAAAGGCATCTCTAATTTTTTTTCTAATATCTCAAATGGTCTAATATACCTCGAACTTAGTTTTTTCTTTCCGAACCTCATAACATTTTTCATTGTAACACCTTTCATTAAAGCCACTCATAGAAAAACTTTATTGCTAACCTCGAATTCTAAGTCTTTCCTCTTTGTGTCGGCATAACTCATTTGTTTGCTTTGAGATGCTTTTGTGCTTCAACTAACCTCTCGTTATTTACTAAACTAATTTGGTTCTAAGCGAGCTTTCAATCACCAACTTCATAGTGTATTGGTGATTTACACATGCACTCGTATAGAGACTCATATGGTGCCATATCAATACTTGATTGATAGCTATTATTGTAAGCAAACTTTATCAACAATAAGTACTTTGCTCATCTTGTAGATTAGTCTAATAGATAGGTTCACGAGTATGTCCTCTAAGATCCGATTCACCCTCTCTGTTTATCCGTCAATCTGTCGGTGAAAGACAATATTGAAGTTCGGATCAATTTTCATCACTTGGTGTAAACTTCTCCAAAATTGTGATGTGAACTTCGGATCTTGGTCTAAAATAATCAAAACTAGGATTCCATACGATCTTAGTATCTCCTTTAAATATAACTTAGAATATTACCGCATGGAATACATGGACTTTATCGATAAAAAATGAGTTGATTTAGTAAATATGTCAATAATGACCTAGATGTTACGACTCCTTTCTCGGATCGTGGTAATTTGAGTATAAAGTCTATAGTGATGTATTCTTGTTTTCATTCGAGAATGTTTTATAGCTTCAATAATCTCGATGGCTTTTAATGCTTAATTTTGACTTGTTGACTTGTTAAGCATCAAACAACATAGTTAGAAATGTCTTGCTTTATCCCTCTTTACTAATAAATCCTCTTCAAGTCTCGATACATCTTGGTGCTCTCGGGGTGGATAGAGTAGAGTGTAGCATGAGTTTCTCTTAAAATATCATCTTGAAACTTTTTAATTGTAAGAACATATATCTTATCATGATATCACTAAATACCTTCGTTATCTATGGTAAATTATATAACCTTTTCTTTAGCTACATCTTTTTATACTCTAAGAAATTTTACATCCTATAGCTAGCTTTCTTTAATCATTTGCCTTATGTCGGGTTGCAATAGCATTGCACCCCACATCCTTTCACTTGCTTCCTCTTGGTATACCCTCCAACTATAATCTTTCCATATCTTTGACAATATATACATGTATAGTTGCCAATGCCATTTAACTTAAAGCATCTGCCACCTCATTTTCTTTACTTGGGGTGCTAATTAAAAGTAATGTCATGGTCGTTTAACACTTTGAGCCACCTCCTTTGCCTCAAGTTTAACTCTTTCTAAGTAAAGATGTATAGGAGGCTCTTATAATCACTCGTAGATATAATATTTGACACTCGTATAAGTAGTGCCTTTAAATTTTCAAGGCAAAAAATCATAGTAGATATTTTAAATCATGAGTGAGATAATTCTTTTTGTAATCTTTTAATTGTCTAGATGCATAAGTGATTACTTTTCCATATTGTATTAAGACTGCATCAAGTTTGATCCTTGATGCTTTTGTATGGACTAAGAAGTTTTCATTATCCTTAGGAAGAGCTAAAACCATTTCTATGGTCAATCTAAATTTTAACTCTTGGAAACTTCTTTCACGATTATCATCCCACTTAAAGTTGGCATTCTTCCTTATCAACTTGGTTAGTGGAGTAGCTATCTTCGAAAATCCC